AACACATATTCCTTTCAATTGTATTGTTATTTATAGTGACGGATGTATCATCTGTACAAATGCTTCTTGCTAAACCAGGACCAACATTCACAAAGAACCTATTAAACTTATCTACTACATCCTCCAATCTATTAACCGGTGTATCATTATCCATGAAATACTGAGGGTAGTTACTCATGCTGGTACTGTCTCTAATCAATTTATTTAATATATTCCAAGTACCTCTCATGTTATTTTTATTATCCTCTAATACTTTAGCATAATATTGTTTCTTACATCTCCTCAATATCGCAATTAATTTGTTCTTATATGATTTATATTTTTCTTCCGCCTTCTTTGATCTGTACTTTATGAATTCCTTATATAACACATTCTTCTTTTTACATGCATTCTGTAATCCCTTACTCATCCACGGTTTCCCACTGTAGAAATTCAAATGATAGTGTGTATTATGTAATAAGTAACCAGCTGGATATTTTATATAAAATGTTTTCTGATATAACTGTCTAAAAATCATTTTAGCAGCTCAGTGTTGGTCTCCTGTCAACCCTGTGAATTGCTGTGTAATCAAACACGCATAATGTTTGTGTGCCTGTATGTGCAACTTTAACCATTACCACTTAAAAGTGTAAACCCACTAAAATCATAAAAATATTAATAACATCAAAATTGAGTATTAAACCTCATCTCATTTTTTTTGTATTAAACCCTTTCAGGAATTTTATATAGAAGTTTAAAAAGGTTACAGCACAACAGCAAGCAATAACATATAACATTAAAATCAACACTAATTGTCTTGATTGGTTTACAATCTAAATAAATCAAAACTACTATTTCTAAGCAAAGAGACAATTTGTTCAATACTCTCCTGCAGATCTTCTTGTAAGGTCATTTCTGATGCCAGATCATCAGAGGCCTGCACTGCTGTTATGGCCTGTATTTCCTGGGCTGTTTTTCGGTTCTCTCCAGGAACCGTTTTTACAGCTTTGCTGGCAACGGCCAGGTTTTTGCAAAAGAATGTTGTGATCCCCAGAATCAAAGGTTTTGGATAAATCAATAAAAAGAGCAGCACAATCTAGTTTTCTATCCAAAGCCTGTGCAGTATCGCCAACCTTTGAAGCCGTTGTCACAGTGCTATGACCAGGTCTAAAGCCAGACTGACATGGATTCAGAATACAATTACTAGTTAAATTCTTTTTACCTTATTCTTCAGGAGAGTTTTTTTTGGTATGTAGCATTCAAGTCAGTTGAAAACCAGGGATTATTCCTATTTTTATCTGTTTTTTTAACAGGAGCCTGTTTATCTGAAGTTTCATTAAAAACCTTGATAAAATAGTTTAGTGCAGAATGCAAGTCAGAATATGTGATGGTAAGTGCAATATTACTGTAGTAGAAATAATTTTAAAATCCTGTTCTGTAAAGGGTTTGAAGTTTCTCCTAACCACAAAACTTATATTAAGAAAACAACCTTGCCAGAAAAACAACCATTTGTACACACATCCGCATGATAATATCTACCAAAAGCCACTGAAAAATTGATCTGATTTATTCTTAGTTTGTACTTAGTTTTTAGTTTGACTTATGTCCCATCGACTAACATGGAGGTGCAGTTTATAACTTATACTGCAACCAGCCGCCAGGGGGCAATCGGGTCACAGGGGCTTCACTTCTATGTTTTATACAGTCGATGGTACAGCCTCACATACCTGCTAGCATGGCTGCAGATGTTTGGTTTTTTTATCACAGAAACAACAGGCATCATTCATAAAATGTTTGTGAACAGACAGAAATTAATGTAAGAAACTTGAGATGATGACATACAATAGTAATTTGCATAGGTATTTGACATCACTGTGTACAAATGCCAGTTTTTATGTTGAACAGCTTTTATTTTCTCTGTAAATTGACCTTTCTGAACCTGAACTGTTGACCTCATTTTAAGTGTCTGGTCCATTGACCAAGACAGCATATAAAAAGAACACTGTGTGTGGAAATGTTTTTCTGGAGGCTCTAACAAATTACAGGTTTTTGTTGCCGCTACATTCTGCCTAGAGTCCATCAACTGTTTCTGACTGAAAATGAAAAGATTGGCCAGTTTCCTCTGAGGGACAACATTAACACTTTAACTTGTAGAACTTTCTGGTTTCCAGCTCTTTCCCCCCACCCCACCCTTTCTCCCTTATCTTTACTTCCACAAGAACAATCTGCACAAATCCAGTTTTTCAGACTGTAAAGGTGTCTTTTTAGAGTGAGCATTCAGATAGGCTAGCTAGATAATCATGTCATTTTTATTTCTCTTCATTCATTTTATTATATATTATACAAATTGCTGAACAAATCAGTAGCTTGCAATTACTAGGTTTGAAATTATAAACCTCTATGGACAGAAAGGACAATACTGTGAGCTGCAGTTACATTTGGTGGCAGCCAGCACACTGTAATGTGATGTTCTATTCCAGCTACCTCACTAGGATGCATTCCTGTACTTGTCAGTTCTGGTGCTGAATCAAATCTTGGACAACGTGTTCTTTTATTTCAGAGCAGAAACTCATAGTGTTGTCTTTTGTGAGTATTTTAGGTGCAACATATTTGAATCTGCCTTTTAATGTGTATGCAAATTTACTTCTCTAGGGAGAAATAGATTTTAACATTACTTGCACTTGTCAGTGATTTCAATCTGGTCCAGAGTGATGTATTTTACTGTAAAGTGGCTCTCTAAATTTTGTCTGCAGAAAGCGCTCTCTATCCTTTTGCTTTTATCAGCTAGCTGTGAGGTTAGAGTTTTGTGTAAAAATTGAATAAGTCAAATCTAATAGATAGACACAGGTTCACATCTAAGCACTAGTACGACAACAAATAATGTAACTATTAGGAAAGCAAGGCCTCATTAAAGCTCATCTAATGGACTGTTGGTGTCAGCTACAGGTATCCCCCCCCCATAACAAGCCTATATTTGTTTAGATAATGGCAACTTGACACTATTAAAGCTATGCCAAATTAGCTATTAGCAGTTTCTGTTTGCAATCTACAACTATCAATGGATTACTCTGATACTAAAGATAATTTAAAAACATAATGATTCTCAAGCATGTTCTATTTTCTATGATCAGTAAAAGGATTTATGGCTCTACCAAATGTCCAAGCCACCATCATGACAAACCACCCAGTAATTGTTGAGATGACTGAAATTCAGATATTTCACTGAATACTCTGACCTGCTGATGGCAGAATTCATCAAAAATAAACAGGGTGGGGGCATTTAAAAGCACCATAAATGTATTTATTGCCTAAAACTAATTTTGTGATATAACAAATGATTTTTGAGTTGAAGTTAACGGAGGGGGTGAAGCCTATCCCAGCTGACATTGGGTGAGAGGCGGGGTACACCCTGAGCAGGTTGCCAGTCTTTCACAGGGCTGATATGTAGATAAACAGCTACAAATGCTCACACTCACTCCTGTGGGCAGTTTAGATTCAATCATCCTAAGATGCATGTCTTTGGACTGTGGGAAGAAGCCGAAATACCCGGAGAGAGCCCACGCAGGCAGAGGGAGAACATGCAAACTCTACACAGAAAGCCCCCCAGGTAGGAGGTAGGTAGGAGACACTTGTTAACTCGTTAATAATCATGATATGTCTTTATGTTCTGCTCACTGATTGTTTTGCCTATTTTGTAATCCTATTTAGACAAAAATGTTACTGTCACTTTTAATAGCTATGCACATGTCATCATTTTATATGTGACATGTATGTTATGGCTCATGATACTCCTTTTTCCATAAAGTTATATTCAATATTCAGTAGAGTTTATTATGATGAGATAATGAAATAAATTTTAATGACAGCAATTAACATACAATACAAAGAAACAAGATTACTGACTAAATCTGTCTGTTACTCATGTGAGCAGTTAAATCAAATTACTCCTGCAATTCACTAAATATCTTGCCTGTAATGACATGTGAATACATCAGTGCAATGTCGAACAAGCTGTCAGCCACAACATGCTCCAACCCTACAACTCTCACCTTGTTGGCTGCTAGAAAGTCCCTCATGGAGATCATCTCCCCAGACATCCTGCGCCCAGTGTCAGTCTCGCTCTCGTTGATAGCGTCTGTCTCGATGGAGGGGTCTCTACGGGCACGCAGGTGCACCGGGGCCACTACGTTTTGTCGGGGATGCCGGTGTGGGTGGTGACCCCTCCTGGGGAAACAGCAGCGGCAGGGGACCTCCAGCCTCCTCAGCAGCCAGTTGAGGAATTGCTTGATCACGATGGAGATGACATTGAAGAGGGAGTAGATGCAGCAGACGCCAGTCAGGATGAAGAAGAAGTTGCCCAGCCGGTAGGCGGCCATGGCGTGGCCCTCGTAGATAACCCTCTGGCTGCTCACCATATCTCCAAAACCGATGGTGCTGAAGGCCACAAAGCAGAAGTAGAGCGAATCCAGGTAGCCCCAGCCCTCAGCTGCTGAGTACATGAGCGAGGCGCAGCAGGACACCAAGATGGCAGCTGCTCCTAGAATGAACATGACACAGTAGACTGAAGGCTTCCAGCCACCCCGATCCTCACCTCTTCCTCCTGCTGCAGTGCCACCTGCTCTGTTACCCTCAGGGACTCTACGGCCATTTTCCGGGAGTACTGCCTTATTATGGCGGCGTGCATGACAGGACTTGAGGACGACTGCAATGACGGTGATGACACGCTCTAGAAAGAGATTGAAGAAGAGGATTGTGGCTGGGGGGGCAAGTAGGCCGTAAAACATCAGGAAGACTTTTCCTCCAATGGTGGCAGGGGTGGTCATCCCGAACCCTGGGATACGCACAAAACATTATGCATTAAGAAGAAATCTCCATAGTCATACTAGTATTATAATAAGATAAAATGAGGCAAACACAAGTAGAGTACTTTTTGTCCTCAGTGTGTTTACTCTTATTGACTTCAAACACATCCTTTCTGTCATTATTAAACATGATTAAGTCCTGTTAACTTCTTCTAAGTAAAAATTATATGCATACAACAATTTCACTCCATTGGGTTGCCATTGGTGACGCTCTCTTTCTGTCACTCACACTTTTAAGAGCTGAGGTATTTTGAGTTCAAGCACATCACAGCAGTCCCTGTAAGTGTTACTGTATTCTCCACAGTTATTTGCCAACTTTAAGACCCAGTGGAGCTGCCTCTTATCGCAATCTGATCATTTTCTCTTATTTTTAAGGGTTCAAACCCATTTACCTGGTTTTACTCAAGGGGAACTGAGACGCTGTTTGTGTGTGACATTTCCTTTGGCACTTGTGAAATGGCAGATGAATAAAATAGGAGTCAAAGTGAGAGCTCTTTCTATTGACTGCACCAATCTCAGCAGTCTCCTTTTCATCCCTCATTTAATAGTGAAAGCTCAATGAAGCACTATCTGCCTCCCCACTTTCCTTTTTCAGTCGATGATTACAGTTATGTGCCGCATGTTTAATTATTTACAGGTTCAGCTACTGTAAATTTTTACATCACGAGAGCCCTTTTCACTAGAACAACAAAGATAAATGTTACAGTGTCATGTCATGAAAAACATACTCTTGAGCATAACTGCATATCTAATTGCCACTGTGCCAGAGGCAGGCTTCTTGTGGAGGACTTGATTGCCTCCACATTCAAGCTGTTTTTCAAGGTGCTAATTGAGCTGGAGTTTTTTTTTTTTCCCAAACACAGCCATAAAACCAAATGGGCTTCATTTTATAGACATGGTTTTTCTTTCCTTGTTTTGTAAGCCTGGTTAAATGTAATGTTGATGAGTCATTTGACCTGTTTAATAAGATATGCATGAAACAAATTAGAGAAAATAGTGTGCCGTTGTGTCAGTGTGACATCTGTGTCAGGATGACTGTGTGGAACATGGCGGGAGCTTAGGGTTGCTGGGTTGTGCTACACAGCCCTGACTTTTTGCTCACACATGCAACCTCACTCACTCAAGAACATTTAAAGCAGCAGTCTGTATTTTTGGGAAGTCTGCTCATTCGCTTTCTTTTTCTTTTATGCATTGTCCTGACTTCCTGACTGGTCTTCTGTTGAAAAGTGTTCCCCCGTTGAGATGTGTTTTCCCTGTTCAAAACTTGGTTTCATGTAGCGTCCCCCTCAGTGGATGTGGTTAGGATAATGTTAGGATTCAGGTTAGGGGAACACATCTCGATAAGAAAACTGATTTCAACACAACACCGGCAGCAGGAGTTGTGTGCGTTCATGAACTATTCTCTCGTTCTCAGGAGGAGGCTCTCTGGTTTTATCATTCTGAAATAACTACAGACTATTTGGAGTTATGATGGGTGCAAAGATAATCTAGAGGTTCCCAAGATTAAACATTAAATGTCTGGAAATGAGCATGCCATGAACACTTAAATTATATCCTTCATGTTACTTAATGTACATAGTGACTCTCCAGGATGGTGTGTCTGATCATGCTCTGAGCGCCAGGTTTAATTATGCCAGCTTTGCTTTTATAAACTTGCATTTTGTCCATTAGTTTAGCCTGCTGGACATGTGTAAATACTACAGTACTTGTGAGCCTCTGCACTATTGCTTTTTGTAGTCAGAGATGTGCAAATTCATAATGAAATCCAGAGTCTTCAGCTTTAAATTTGTGCACCACAACACACCACCGAGTTGCAAAATAACTCTTTTATCAAGATTTCTTTTTAAATCATAATCTTATACTGCAGTTTGTTTTGCTTCTCATTGAAGTATTTTTAGACTGAAACTCTAAATATGACAACTTGTATGTGCACCTGTTCTGACCACACATATGCAGTAGTTAGTGTAAGTGCACACACACTCTACTAAACAGATTCAGTGATCTTATATTCTTCCATGTATCCATGCAAGCTCTGGCACACACATTACTCTCCTAGAAGATGTAAATGATTCTCTATTGGAAACAAGCTTTCCCTCAAACTATATACCAAAAACTGAGAGATGAGGGTGCAAGATAACAAGAAGATTAAAAGACTGATTACTTAGATTGATTGACTAAAATATTCCATAGTCTCACGCTGACTTCAGACAGCTGGGTTTAGAGTAACAAACGAGATTTTACAACATGCAGTATTTTTTGCAGGAAGCTGAAGTATCTTCTTTTCTAAGAAGGCTCCTTGAGTAAAAGATGTAGCCAAGTTTGTGGTTAAAAATCAGGTTGTTGTCAACCTTCTGTCAGAGGTCTCAGAGTAACATGCAGAAGGACAACAGAGGAAACAGTTTCTTTGAAACAGAACGAAATTCAAGTTGAAAATTCTGTCAGTGGATTCAGAAATCAGTGGAGCAATCTTACTCTTCTCTTCATTGGCCACTGTGAAGATCATCCTATAAAATGTGATCACTAAGAAAATTGACATAATATAGCCCTGGGCTGCTATTATTAGAGTTCCTGATGATGTTCTAGACAAGTCATCTACTTATAGGGCCTGTCAAACAGCCAGAAGGCCAGTCATCACACAGGGCTGTGTGCTGAGCCCATTCCTCTACTCCCTTTTCTCCCACAACTGCAGGCCTGTGCATGGCTCCAACACCATCATCAAGTTACAGATGAAACCATGGTGATTGGCCTCATCAGCGACAATGATGAGACAGCCTACAGGGAGGAGGTACGGCACCTGGCTGTGTGGTGCGCTGACAATAACCTGCTCCTTAACACCGAGAAGAACCAAGGAGGTCATTGTGGACTACAGGAGGGAGAAAGGAGGCACACACGACCCCATCCATATTAATGGGATGGTTGTTGAACATGTCTCCAGCTTCACATTCCTGGGGACCCACATCTCAGAGGATCTGTCCTGGACCACCAACATCTGCAGCCTGGTTAAGAAGGCTCACCAGCACCTCTTCTTCCTGAGGACACTGAAGAAGAACCACCTGTCTTCAGCCATCCTGGTGAACTTCTACTGCTGTGCCATCGAGAGCATCTTGACCAGCTGTATCACAGTCTGGTATGGAAACTGCTCTGTCTCCGACCGCAAGGCGCTGCAGTGGGTGGTGAAAACTGCCCAACGCATCACAAGGACTCCACTTCCAGCCATTGAGGGTGTCCACAGGGAACGCTATCTCCGACGTGCTCACAGCATTCTCAAGGACTCCTCTCACCCTGCTCATAAACCGTTTGACCTCCTACCCTTTGGGAGGTGCTTCAGGAGCCTCCAGACCAAGACCAGTAGACTAAGGAACAGCTTCCTCCCCACAACTGTCTCCTTACTGTACAGTACTCTGTCCCCTGTTGACCCCCCACTGCCTTCCTCTATACCACTACACACACCTCACCCCTTCTCATCTCTCCTCCCGGGACTCATGCAATACGCTTCTGTTACCTGTAACACTGAAGTGATCTGCTAATTTGCACATACTCTACTCACAGGATACTGCTCTGTATTCATTTGCACACTGTTCATATGCAGATACTCCATATTTGTCTTTATCTTTGCACTATTTACATCCATTGAACAGTTTCATCCCATCTCATTCCATTGCACTAGTGTTCCTTAAGCTTAATGTACCTTGTCCATTACTGTAATTTGAATCCATAGTCTGTTGTATATCGTACATTATATCTTACTGTAAATATCAATTGTACATATCCATCGGTAAATTAGTTCTGACTGTTCATACTGTAGTTACTGTACACCCTTCACTGCTGTTATTGCACTTCTGGTTAGATGCTAAACTGCATTTCATTGCCTTGTACTTGTACATGGGCAATGACAATAAAGTTCATTTAATCTAATACAGTAATGCTTGAGTACTAATCTCTAATCAATAACCAATGTCCTTTGTCCATTCTAGTCAGCAAGCTCGAAACATCACAACAGGACGGAGAACGAGAGCAAAACATGAACTCAGAATCAGAGCTGTCTTCATCACAAACAGGCAACCAGGAGGAAGCAGAGGAAGGAGATAAAGACACATATGAGGAAGGACAGGAAGTAGAAGAGGAGGAGCCATGTGAGGAGACACCAGAGGAGGAGGAGGTGAAGGTGGAGTGGCCAACAGGAGTCCCCCAGGCTTTCATTAATCAGTTCAATCAAAGATGCTAAAATGGGGCTAACCAGCAGGTACTGAAAAAAACATTATTTAAGTACAAATCAGAGGTATCAACAACAAAAGATCAATAGGTTGTCACTGTGCATAATTGCCTAGAAGAATGACTTTGTTTTTCTACTCTTGCATACTAGTGGTGATGCCACAGTGCTTTCAAACAGTCCTGGGCACAGGTTGTGCTGAAATGGAGCTGTCAGGTACAGATCTTGTACTAAAATAGGCATTAAACTGCATTCCTCCCCTTTTGTTTAACCCACAGAAACAAATATCAGGTTCTAAACTATGAATAACAAATGTTACAAAACCGACTGTCTCAAACATTTGCCTGTGGATGTCTGCTTAGGATATACATGATCAGACAGGGGGACTTGTCAAACACTTGTGTAACTAACTAATTCTGGCCTCATTGTGTTCGCTACTTCCAGTACAAACAGTGGTACCACAACAAACATTAATGCTTTTCCCACTTTGGCAAGTTAAAAATGTCCATGTGAAAATGTCTGTTGCACACAAGTTGAGCTGCTTTCTGGACTTCATATGCGTTTCCTGAAAACAAAATTTCAAGACAAAGTACAGTGAGCGGGTAAAAACAGTTTACTGACCTTAATACTGACAATAACTGACCTTGATAAGTTGTTATACTGTTTGCTAAGAAATGGAAACTGGAACAGACACTAGGCCTGTTGGTGACACAGTCAAATTGTAAGGAAAGAACAGAAACACAACAAATACAAATATTAAAACAAAAGTTAAATAGGCCTAGTAGCCTACATTTTAAAATGAATATTTCAAATGCTTTTCAGATGTCTGTGTCTCCTTCTCACCAATGGTTGATACCACAGTTCCCACGAAGTAAAAAGCGCCGGTGAAGTCCCATCGAGGTCTGATAGTGTCCACACGGATACCCGCTATGTTCGCCTCCTCGTAATTCCTGAGGAAGTTATTCAGGTCTTTCTTACTCAGGTTATACTTCTGGCTGAAATGCTCGAACCTCTGCACCCAGCGCTCCTTCGCTTCTCGCTCCTTTGGCTGTTCCAGCGCAGAGAAGACGGCGGCCCCACACAGCAGATAGATGATTATGAGCAATGCTAGTAACAGGAACCTCGCGTTATCCTCGTTTATTGGACCGGAGCCGCAGCAGCAACCGCTCCTACATGCCATTATGTTTCTGTTGTCACCGCGGTGCGCCTGCAGCGAGGGACCTGTGGCATGGTTATCATGAATTAAACGCACAGTCCTCGGAAGAAACGCTAACAAGACAACAGAAAAGTCCTGAGCAATACAGTTAAGTGCTCAGGTAATCTATAATTTAATCGTCCACGGCTGTGGGTTTGGCATTTTGCTCACGAGCAAACCACTCAGCCAAACGCCTCCTTTAACGACTTCTCTGTTCGTCGGCTGTACATTTAGGTCTAGGTTGCCAAGACGCTCAGAGAGGAGGAGAGATCCGCGCAGCAGATGATCGTGCTGTTGCGCTTTCTGGTCCTGCCTCTCCAACAAAGTGCCCACCCCAGAGCGCGCGTTTTACGCACCGCAGACTGACCACCAGCATACGGACGAATTTACAACCCCTGTCCATTCATCACTGTATGCCAAGTCTATCTGGACAAACCTGCTAATTTCCGCATTTTCGCCCGTTAAAGGCGTCATAGCAACAGAATCTGATGATTAGTACTGAACTGACCTGAAGATGTTAGATCTGACCCCAACTTGGGTGGGGGGGCTGAGTTTGACAATATGGAGCGCGTTTGCATACTGAGATCAATATCATCTGACCTTTCCGAGCTCTGATGAGGGATTCATGCGCCTGTCCATGCTTACCCGGGGACGATGTGAGCAAATGTCATAACGGAGCAACGGTCAGAAATAAATTATTCAGGATCACAAGGACAACAAAAGGGCTATTTCTGTAAAACTGGGAATTTACCAAAACGATAGCGTGTGCAAAGCCATTTCAGCACCACGGACAGAGCCACAGCAGCCTTCTAGGTCCCACTTATCTACATTGTCTTGATGTAAAGTTAGAGCCTGTTTAATATAAAGACATGCGGGCTAACTATTATGTACTTCACTTTTAAACAATGCCATCAACTATTTCTTAAAATTAAACCTGCACTAAGCAAGCTACAAACTTCAGCTATAATAATCATTAGCTTTTTGTCCGATTTAATATTGCACATGAGCCAAGATTACTAAATAAAAATGTGGGCACTTACAAAAAAGGTACACCACCACTGGATGAAGTTAAGACAAAAAAAAAAAGTGAATGTAACATTAATGGCAATGGTGGCAGTGCTTTGGAATCGTTCCCTGTGGACTACAGCAACACAGAGTGCTTGGAAATCTGTTCTACATTGAACATCTATTTGAAAAGATACTTTTAAATGACTGTATGTGGTAGAAGTCCAATCCTTCTTGGCAATGCGAACAAGAGGAAATCCCTTTTATGGACGATGAGCTCAATATTTTTTAAATTCATTTTTCATGTTCATGGCAGTCCTTCCTGTTAGATTCATAAAGTCGTGAAATTAAGAATTAATTAGGAAAGGGAGAATGGGTAAAGGCAATAACATGGGGCAGTTTTCTTATAGGACAAGGACATTCATGAGAAACTAGACAGACATGACACTAAAGTGTCAACAACTGAAAGCATAAAAGATTACATAAGACACACTGTAAAGTACATTAGTAAGATATTTTTAGGACACAGTGAGGCAGGCTGAAACCAGTGCAAGTTAAAATGAGTTATTTTATCATTGAGCAGGACAGAGCAATTGTTGAATATTGGAAATACCTGGTGAAATAATTCACTAGTGAAAGAAAGCAATTTCCTTGAATGTTTACGGAGTACCCTGATTATAGCCACATCCTAACTGATTTTATAAACTGGGGTGAATCCATATCACACAGCAAGTACTGATATTTCGCTGGCAATTATTTAAAGATTATTGTTGACTGGAGTTTTGTTTCTCCACTCATCCCAGCTGATATGGGTCTGGGGTGCCTGTTAAGCAATCAAGTTATAAATTAACTCTAATGCATGTAAGACATTCACACTAAACAGACATGTTGATTTTTTAACACTGCCTTAAAATAATTGATATTTTTACTGTGTTTTCTATTTGCAAGTAACTCTGTAATTCAGAGGTAGACTCAGTGGAGGAGAAGAAGACACAAGAGCGGATTTTGTTTGGTTGTGAGGGCGAAAAGGAAGCAAGTCATTTTGAACAGGCAAGACGCAGGCCAGCTAAAGGCAGGGGGACATGGGCAAGCAAAAGTAGATTTAGGAAATCAGCTCATAGTTCCTGAGGAAATAGTCAGCACTAGCCTAAAACCAGACCTTGTGTTGGACTGTGTATTTTGTCGAGTGTACAGTTCCCTGGGAAGACACTATAGATACAGCTTATGAGAGGAAGAAACTGAAATGCACAGAATTAGCCATGGAGGCAGAGGAGCGTGGCTGGAAAGTTAAATTCTGCCCCATGGAGGTTGGTTATAGGGGATTTGTAGCCAAGTCAGCTGTATTTAAAAGGGCGGAGCCTAAGACAGATACTCAGCAACCTAGTTGATATTGCAGCAAGGTCCTGTGAGTTGTTCTAGAGCAGAAGAAAGGTACGTGAATAGCATAAAGATAGGTAAGTGTTCTGAACAGAGTGTAAACTGCAACATACAGTATGTGTGGATTATTATGAAGTAAACTAGCATAGGAGGACAGGCTTAACAAAAATGTTTAATGTATGCAGTAGGCCCGAGGCCTACTTCCTGATGTCAGCATGAGCAAACTAACATGAGGGCATGGTAGAAGTTTGACTGGTTTGCTGGAGTGAATAACAACACAGGGTGGTTTCTGATGCAGCACAAAAAGAAGCAGAGGTTTGACTAGTTGTCTAGTGAGCATTCTGAAATATTTGGTGAGACATTTTAAATGTTTGGTGGCTAGAACAGCAGTGGAAATGTTTGCTAGTGCTAGGGACTATTTGGTAACAGCTAGCCTGGACTAGCCTGAGTAGATGAAGGGTTGTGTTGGGTGTGCAGGTGCAGGCAAAAAGGAGGGTGGTTCTGGGATGCTGGAACACACTGTTCATGGACCTAACTCAGTGAAACAGTGAGAGGGGGGCCCACCTGATGACAATGTAGACTTGCCTTCACTCCTAAACCCACACAGAACTTGTATTGGTGTTGGAGATAATATAGTTATTGAAGCAGTGGGGTTGTTAGTAGTGTATTCTTCTTTTTGTTATTAGCTGGACAACTAAGAGGACCTGGCTCTCAGACATGACTGCCATTACAAGCCAGTTGGGCCAGCCACTGTTTAAAATGAGCAAATACAGTGTAGATGCTGTGTGTCAAGCCACATACTGTATCTGCTCTTTGCTTGGGTGAGGATCCATGCTTTGTCTTAAGGGTAAGTCAGGTCTGGAAAATGGTGTTGCTTATTGTGGAGCTCTGGAGATTTATGACAGCATGGCCTGACATGCCCTCTTTGGGGCCAAATAATGGGTAAACATCATTGAACTTGTATATTGAGCTTCTATATGAATGCTCTCCCATTCTTTGGCACATTTATTTGTTGTTTGAGCCTCATTCAGACCCAAACTGAATAGGAGTTTCTTGTTCAAGTGAGTTTAGTGTCATGTTTCTGTGTAAAATTTCATTATACAACTGTATTAAAGAGGTCTAAAGTACATCAGTATCCCTATTTTCTTTCTTGAACCAAACATTACTTTGTGTAATTTCTTCATTAGCCTAGATTAATTTATACAGGCATACGATGCTGAAGCATGATATAATTAGCTTTTTTCTGAGAGGTACAGGATCTATTTCTGTACCTATTGGGAATATTGCTCGCTAAAAACACTGTGCAGTCACACTTACAGCTGCTGTCACTGAATAACAATTTAGTTTTTCTTTTGCATTCATAATTACTATGTATAATATTTAGATGTGTGTGTTGCCAGGCTATTTTCTTAGTTGATGTGGTTGCAGCTTCACCACTGACAACAATGACTCCACCATTTCCATGTAGCCTGCCAAGGTCACAGCCATTTGCCATCAGCCTCCACATCCATAAGTGGGCTCTTCACCTCATTTTGCCCTGGTTTATAAGCAGCAACATTCAGCTAGCGCTCTAATCATTTGCCCACAGACACACACATGCACATATGCCAGATTTCTGAAGCGGGATCCTAATTTAAGCTCTTGGGTCTACAGAGAAGACCCATCCGCAGGCAACCCATTGGATCTCAACATCTCCAGTGACCCCAGGGTAGTTCTTCTGTAGCTAACCCTCACATTTGACCTCACTGTGGAGGGTGCAAGATATAAGAGAATATTTTGTTGGAGTTGGGTCATTTTTAGATTAGAACACAAAAGATCAAAAAAGTGTAAAATCCTGATCTGAAGCTTGGCTGGTTTGCCTTGTGGGGGACTATTGTTATCTCTAATATTGCTCTCATAAAAACAGCATACCACAATGTAAAACCTTAAAATCAGGTCTGATAGTGCATGTTAAATTGCATGTTTGATGACGCAAGTTGTATCAGGATATGATTTTGAAAGTGAACTCAGTGAAAGTTTTTAAAGAGCCTCCCTCATCACATCACCAGAAAAACTGCCAGCCATCTAATGGATCAAACCAGCTCCTCTCATCCCCTCCAAAAGCATGACAGAAACCTGGCTTTGGTTGATGTCACTGATGTTATGATGGCTGAGCTGGAGAGGCTCCATCAGGGAAAGTTTTCACACAAGGAAACTGATATATTTGGTCATGAGGTGCAGCGTTTCCATGACCACATCTATGGATACATTCAGTATGAGATGTGGGGACAAAAGAATCTTTACCTGTATCTTCTTCTGCTACCAATTATATACTCCACTCCTAAACAGTGATGAGAAAAATATTTATTGAAGTATTGTACATAAATACTCCCTCAGTGAGTGACCAGCTTATGTGCAGAGAAGAAGGGAAGACTCTGGTCCTGTAAACCTGGAGCATTTACACAGTGTAATTTACTCACAGCTGCATCTTAAAGGGACAGATGGTGTGTCATGATGTGCACCAGCAATGTTTGACCATATTCATGTCTATAGCCACATACTCAGGACCAGGTTATACATGTTTCATAATTCAGCTCATTTCACAATAAATTATCACAATGAATTCCAGCAGATCAGTTGTGGATTTAAGGTCTTGTTTTAAGTTGGCGTGGTCGTGAAAATACATCTGAGTACTTGTTCTCATCCTTTCTAGCCTAGACTGCTTTAAAAAAGCTGCCATGCACTTGTAAATGTGAGAAAAGGTGGTCTGTGCAGGTTTTAACACGAGCACATTTCCAGGTCAAAATGAGCACCAAAACTGCACTGTGCTGCCTACTCAGCATAAACATGACCTCACTTGTGCCTCTCCTCCAACCAAACACCAGTGCGCATAAAACAGGCTTGCACTCAAGGAAAATTGCATAAAGACTGCTTTTGAATCTATGGTGACTATGTGCTGGCAGGAAAAGAGAGCCCTCAGTCTCCAGCTATGACACAGCTCTTGGAGATGTCAAGCTCCAGAGAGCTTTCATCAATGAGGACTTCAAAGAATCTGACAGCAAACGTGTGTCATATCATCTG